TAGCCTGTATCAGACACACCTTAGTCTCCAGAGTGACACCATTGCTCTTCAGTACCCTGGAGAGGTCCCTAACAGCAGACTTTCCCACAGCAATATTTTTTTTAATTTACTTTTACTTTTGTTTTTAATTTGTCATTGTCATTAAGTTAGAACCAACTCATAGCTGACCCTCTGTTTGAATTTCTGAGTCTGTGAATCACACAGAAGGAAATTATCCCTTTCTCTTTCAGAGCCTGAGATACAACTTCTAATATCCACTCCAGGTACTACATCTTACATCCACTATGAAATCTGAAGATTGGACATTGTTGTTGTTGTATACTGTTGACATGGAACTGACCCATAGCTGGCCCTCCAGTGTGTTTTTAGAGGCAGTTAATTGATAAATAAACTCTTCTTTTAGGGTATGAGGGGTGTTTAAAGTTTGCTTTGTTGGTTTAGTAGTAAGAAATTGTACTACTAACAGAAAGGCATAGGTTTGTATCCACCAGGTGCTTCTTGGGAGTATCGACAGGCTCTTCTTACCTTTGAAAGCCTGCTGGAGGGTCAGCTGTGGGTCAGTTCTGATTGACAGTACACAACTGCAACGTCTGTAGTAAGTGATGTTCATGAGATTCTGTTATTTTCCTTGAGTACAATTTTTCCTTATGCCAGACAGATAATAAGTATTTTAAGGATTTATTCCTGAATACAGAAAAAACTTTGAGAATATAATCAAGAGTGTTATATTTGCATAAACTTCATGTCATCTTATCTCCCTTATGCCCTTTGCTGAAAACACATTCTATCTACTGTCATGCAGTCTTACACTTCCTGGCACACAAGAGCCCATTGCAGCAGTGACTGCATCAGTATACCTGGTTGATGGTCTTCCTCTCCTTCCTTCCACCCTTCTAAGCATCATGTCCTTCTCCAAGGAATGGCCTCTCATAGCAGCATGCCCAAAGTATGTGAGGCGAAAGCTCATCATTCTTGCTTCCAAAGAGCTTTTCTGCTGCACCCTCTCCAAGACATAGCTGTTTTTCTTCTGGCTGTCCATGGGACGTTCAGTGCTTTTCTCGAACATCACAGCTCATATCAGTTCTTCCATACCAGATTAAAATAGAGAAAGAATTCATCAACACTAACTTCCTCATCCCATCAAAATGTAGATTTCATCTCTCACATTTTTTTCTTTTTTATCTTTTCCCTCCTTCTAATAATTTATATTATAGTACAAATTCAGCCCTCTGTGGAGAGGCCATTGATGAAACATACTGTACCATATGTTTGAGTCTTTCTTCTTTCTTTGGAAGAAAAACTTAACTTTGAGCCACAATTTTGGCAAAGAATATAAAACGATATAAATTATTCTTTTAAGTACTATATAAAAGTATTTGCCTCCAAGTACCTGAGAGAAATATAGCACATCTTTCCAATCTATATGTGGAACAGATTATCTGGGAGGCTGGGCTTTATGAGGAGAAATGTGGTATCAGGATTGGAGGTAGACTCATCAACAGTCTGCTTTATGCAGATGACACAACCCTGCTTGCTGAAACTGAGGAGGACCTGAAGTGCTTGCTGCAGAAAGTCAAGGACTCATCAACAGTCTGCTTTATGCAGATGACACAACCCTGCTTGCTGAAACTGAGGAGGACCTGAAGTGCTTGCTGCAGAAAGTCAAGGACTGCAGCTTTCAATATAGATTGAAACAACATAGAGAAAACAAAGATTCTTGCCTTTGGGCTGATTAGCAGCATCATGATGGGTGGTGAAGAGATTGAGATTGTCAGCAGCTTCAGTTTGCTTGACTCTACAATCAACACTCTTGGTACTAACAGCTAGGAAAGTAAAAGATGAATTGCCTTGGGGAAGTCTGCTGTCAGAGACCTCTCCAAAGTACCAAAGATCAACAATGTCAGTCTGGAGACTAAAGTGCACCTGATACAGGCCATGGTCTATGCATTTCTTGCTATGCATCAGAGAGCTGGACAGTGAGTAGGGATGATAGAAGGAGAATTTTTGGACTTTGAGCTGTGATGCTGGAGAATAATATTGAATATACCATAAACTGCTAGGAGGACAAACAAGTTCGTCCTGGAGAGGGTGAAGCCAGGCTGCTGCTTGGAGGCAAGGATTCTATTCTGAAGCTTTGTCTGACAGTTTGGACATGTTGCAAGGCGGGATCAGTCCTTGGAGAGGGACATCATACTTGGGAGGGAGGAGGGAAAGATAGGAGAGGAAGACCCTGGATGAGAGGAATTGATTCAGTGACTGGGATAATGGTGGTAGGTGTATCAGAGACAGTAAGATTAGCACAGGATAGAGCAGGGTTTAGGGCTCTTGTACATAGGGTCACTAAAAGTCACAGGCGACTCAACGGCACATAACAATAACAACAACAACTGGGGGGTGGAAATACTGTAGTAAAAAATGTAGGTGACCAATATACTGACTTGCTGATTTTAATTTTGTAATGGATTTTTGTTTTTATACATGGGCATTTTAAATATTCCCCTGCTTTCTTCTCACTTGTTTTTTAGTGAGAGGATTAAAGAATCAAAGGAAGTAGGAAATAATATAATTCAGTAGGATTCATTTGGAGCAAAGAACCAGTTCATTCTTTGATTCTTCTCCCAGCAGCTCCTCCGAGAACATTCCTAATATTATTGAGGTTAATATTTCTTGATAGAGCAAGTAATAACTCTGTATTGACTGCTTAAGTCTTTAGAAAGTATCAAATGGAATATCAGAGTATTTATTACAGAATACTTTTTGACCTAGATTATTCATCTCTAAGCAAATATTTTTGTACAAACAAAATCAAATAGATTAAATGGAGTACAGATTAAAGTGGGAAATACAAAATTCCTTAAGTAATTATCTAAGGCAAATCAGGGCAGTTGAATGGCAGGTAAGATTAATAAGAGAGTAGGTAACTGATTTTAATTATTTTTGGTCAAACATTCTTCTAAGATGTATAGAACTAGTCTGTCCATTTGCTGTACAGAGGTGTCTCATGGTTGCTGTCATGCTAAACACTGTGACACTGATGTGTCAAATGCAGTAATGGTTACCCATGGTGGACAGTGTTTGGTGGAGCTCCCCGATTGAAACAAGCTTGGAAGCAGGACTTCTGAAATGGCTTGCCTCCGGAAACTCTGTGAACTTGGAGAAATGATGAAAGTTATACAAGTGTTCAGGTCTTTCGTTCATCGGGTCAGTT